CAATCAACTGCTATGCAATACTACTGTCCGATTATCAATTTGTATTTAATGGTGAATGTAGTCTGACGCCATGACCAATATTTATCAATTAAGTTTCAGTGGGGGGTAGGGGGGTTTGGAAAAAAACTAAAGGAATTAAGTTTTTTATCCGACATTAATCTTTTGACGTCGTCCCTTACTTCGTCAAAATTATCATCAAATGTATATTGCACATTGTAAAGCATGAAAATACCCCCCAAAAAAAACTATTAACTTTTGTTCTCATCTAGACTGTCAAATAGTCTGCGAAAAAAAGTTATCTCAGCCAAAAAAATAAAAATATAATTTCGGAAAAAGAAAGGAATATAAAGTGTCAAATAATAGAATAGATAGTTATTTAATTTTTCATAGAAATTTCTGGAATTGGGCATATGACTTAGATAGTCGGGGATATTGTGTCATTTATTTTCATAATTAGAAGTACAGTGGCCCCTCACTAAGTCGCGAGTGTCGGGATCCAATTGCAATTGACGACCAGTAGGTGTCAAGTTGTTTCCTCCAGCCAATTAAATACATGATGCAACAAAATATTAGTTTTTTTACTTCAAAACTGTTAACAGAACACAATAAAATTTTTGGGAACCATACAACTTCCCGCGACTTACTGAGATGCTACATAGCGAGGGGTTGCTGTATCTATATTTTATACATCTGATTTAAAGCGTAGGGTTGTCACCTGCGCACGCGCGGGAATTGAGTCCATAGCAACGATAACAACACACGCTAAAAACGCAAAGACTCATGGGTAGACGCTTGTTTGTAAACAGTGACACGCTATGGCCATCTGACGCATGCGCAAGTGATGACTCCCCCGCTTTAAGTGTATTCAGTAGCAATATGAAATCCAGGATATGAAAGTTTTGTGAATTCTGACAGATAACTATCTATTGTTTCAGGGGATCTATCAAGAGAAAATGAACTACTGAAACAAGACATTGAGAGACTGAATGTTCAAACCAAACACTATTCACAATTACAAGAACTTGCAAATATGCTACAAGAAAGTCATAAGTAAGTTGTTGATTTGCTAAATTGTCATTGGTAGAAATGTACACAAACATAAAATTATGTGAAATTGACTCCGTCTTAATTCGTGTCGGGGATGGGTTCGAATGATCATTTATTTCCATTCAATTGTTCTAGTTACATTTATTGCGTGTTACGCGAGTCTTCGCTTAACGAGTACGTTGATATTTCATGCATCTGTGTTGGCGCCAGATCGTTGTTACATTGTTTCATTCAAATCTCTAGTTGGTCATGTGCCGGTCGTGCGCGGCATCTTTCAGTCTCAATTTAGTGAGCTGTGTATCATGTATATTTCACCTTTGAATAAAGATCCATTGACAATCCATTGATCTGCTTCCTATCTATGCTGGGAAACCACCAAGTGTTTTGTGGGACACACTCAAGCGTATGTTTTTCTCAACCACAATTCTCTTTGTAATTCTCTTTTCTTTGGGCACGTCTCATCTACATACACATGCATTTATTTTGCAATCTGATTCACGCTGGCTGAATGGTGGCTATTTTTGTGCTAATAATTCATCACGGAATCAGATCTTCGTCATGCATGTAAAGATTTCAAACTTGGTACATATATTGAACATGATGGGACCTTAAAGTATGACATTTTATTTTACATGTATTTGTTTGCTCTTATTCAAAATAGTTGACTGGCGAATATTTTATTTTAACACATTGACTCCTTCACCCTTCACACATATTCGCAGATTGCAGATTTCTATTTTATAGAAAAGCTCCAGCAGGCGGTGTACCACTATTAAATAAATGCTTTTTCGAAGCCATATATAACCAATCACATTTAAGCATGTAGACATGTATTCATTTCAAGTTCTGATTCAAGATGGCTGACTCAAAGCCTCTGTAGTGAAAATGATTGTTTCTATAATTGTGGAACTAGATTTTAGGCATTTGAGAATGGATTTTGTTCAAATTTGGGACATAATTTGCTAGAGCCTTCGATCTGCGTCATATCCTTAATGATTGCAATCACCTCTTGTACATATCTATCTTGGTACATACCGTACTCTGGCAATGAAAAGGGCTAAGGACTATGTTATGACTATGTTCTTTGTCAAAAACTCATGAAAGACGTAGGCACTGATTATTAAAGACTGTATTAAAAGTAAAGGTTGGAGAAGAAAGAAGAGAAGATTTAAATACAACTTGTAAATTGATTTACCAATTGATTTCACCATGAGTCAAAATTAGGTTCACTCTCAGCTTGCAAACTGCTTAATAATTTTGTACATTGATTTCATTGATAAAAATCTAATGATAATGATTACAGGTCTTTATTAATGATGGATTATTTGCTCATGCAGATCTCTGGTTTCCACTAATGACCATTTATTGAAAGAGCTGAGTGAGACGCGGTCTCGGCATTCCCAAGAAGTGAAACAGTTACACATGTCATATGGCGAACTGAAGAAAACGTTGGACTGGGTTCCGCACCATGGCGGATCTGGCAGCAATAGTAATGGTGTTGGGTATGACAATTACGACATAGAATAGACAATTGTATGTTCATGTCTAAACACATTTTCCATCAATCTGCGTGTGTTGATTGAGCGGTTGGTTGCCAAGCAGCTGAAGTTCGCAAGGTACACAGTAATGTTTGTCGCCGTTAAGAGACTTTGATTACATGCGATTAGTATTTGATTGAATCTCCAAGCTCGGAACCCGGCAGCGTCTGGGTTTCATATATATTTTCTGATAATGATAATTAATAAGATGCAAATCAATATTTGTAAATGTCAATCCATCGCAGATACAAAAGCAATCGAAAAATACAAAATACCGCTCATTAATATTAAGGTTGTCTGGTTTCACTGAAAACGCTTGATGTGTAATCACCGTTCAGTACAGTCATTGCCACACCTCTGATTGTGATGCCTCATTCTTGAAGTAGATGATAAATTACGGCAATTGTTCATGAGTTTTTGATGTGAAATTGTAAATTTTAATTAAATTAATTTATGATGTTGCCTGATATATCCTCTGACCTTTAAGTGATATTTATATGCATGCCTATAATTCTGAAATTTTGCTTATTAATGTCATGTTTTTTTGTTTGTTATGCCAATACCGGTAGTAGGGGTCAACTTTAATCAACAGGTACAAATTGGCACATGTGTTTCATTGTTAATGAAATTGAAATTTTATTGAAGTGCTGAAAACTATTTTGATGTTTTGAGCTTTTTCACTGGGTTTTAATTTCACAAACTTTGGCAGGAAAAAAATGAGTTCTATTATTTTGAATGTTCACATGGATTTAATTTAGTGGATTTTACTATCAGCGAGAATAGCGAAATTAAAAACCAGTGAGTAATTAATGCATTTACAGTACATCCAATCAGTAATTACGCCACTCCCACAGACATTGCTGGCTAACCTTCCCTCAATGCAATGCAGATTAAGAGTTAATTAAATCACATGATCACTATTAACCAATCATCAGTCGGTGACCAAGTCTCAAATCTGAATCTGAAAGATTGTGTATTTTTCTACTTATCAATAAGACAATTGAGCACATGTGCCAAGTATAATATTAAATGGTGCAATGAACGACTTTAAGTCTGATATAATAATAAAATGGGTCAAGGAAGACTTTAATGTCAGAAAACATTTATCAAATGTTTATTTCTTTTTATTTTACTTCTTGTAAACACTTCTTTTTTCAGTTTTTCAGTTGCATGTTGTTTTCTGAAGTGAGTGCAAACTTTCAATGAAAATCTATTTTTTAAGAATTTGAATGATATTGTGTAAATTATTTATTCATATGGGCTTCCAATAATGAATTTTTGCATGAAATAAACTAATTCACTATGTCTGCCAGTATTATTTGCAAAACTGGGATCACAGCGCCCTCTATTGGTGAACTACTGAAATACAACCATTGTGTCATACTTCAGGTTTCTAAAAGTCGTTTCCATGGTAACACTGATGTTGTAAACAAACACTTTGCGAGACTAATTTCACCCTAATAGGGCCTCTAGCAACCGCCATTCTATTGTGCTTGGTAATGAGGCATGCATGCTGGCATGTAAATTGATTTTTGACTGCTGTAGCCCTGTAATATAAAATATATTGTACTTAATCTATGTTTTTTTCTAATCAAAATAAACCAAATTCATTGGAACACTTCGTAGCACTGTTTTTAATGTCTGCACAGCACATTTCAACATTAGCAAAAAATTGGAATTTTTTTTTTCACCTGCGTTGTTTCTCTTTGTACTAGTCGTTTTGTTTAGGCATTGTAATTGATTCAACCAAGCGTATGCCATTATGCCTCGTTAAATACCCTGCATATAGTAGTTTGAATTTATTTTTGGCGAACCTTGCAAATAGACCTCCTGGCCCTTGGCTTAATCACTCCCATTATGTTATGGCTGTTTTATTTGCTGCTCAGCACAATGTCTATTGTTACTTGAAATGGGCATGGCCTCTACTTTATAACACATTGTCCCGTAAATACCACCATCACAGCTCTTCGTTTCCATACATTTTGTAATAATCAGTTTGGTGTTCATGAAAATGGCGACTTGTAATTTGTTTTTTTGTTACTTGATTTTATGATTTATTGTTTAAAATTGTAAAACTATGAAGGAATAGACCAGCTGGCCATTGATATCGGTACTTATTAGGTGGGTGGGGCCCCTAAATCAGGTAATGAGCCATATATCAAGTTAATGCACGGTTATTGCATACCAGACTTGTATGCCAAGAAAAAAACACACCTAGTTGTACTTTTTAGTTATTTATTAACCACAGACGTAACGTTTTTCATTGCATTTTTTTTTTGTGAGACACTTTTTTTTTTATGAGATACTTCCATACGAAGGAAACGCTGCACAAATATTTGTAGCAGTTGATTATTTTATTAATGAGTAACAGAACTTTTGTAGAATTAAGTTCTCATAATTCATAAAATTGTGAAGTTTCACAGATTACAGAAAATCTTTAGAACGCCATAATATTTCTGGTTCTGGGTCGGTTTTTGTTGAAAAAAATATGAAAATAGTGATGAAAGTTGATTTTGTCATTCAAACGTTTATAAAAAAAAACGTTTACAAGTTTGTCAACCATTGGGGAGTGAAGGGTTGAATGTTAATTTGAAATTTGTTTCTGGTTACAAGTATTAATGATTTACAAGATTTAATTCGTTAAGTACCATGTTTTTTTCCGGTGAAAATATTGGTATAAGTTTTTGTACATTTTAAGTGTACTTTTCTGAATTCCTTTCATGTTGAAAAGGTTTGAAGTTTAATCACAGTATGTTTATCTTGATCTTTCAAACCCAGTAAACCAAAATATTTTATGTACTACAGGTTTTATCTGAAACACTGATTTTAGTTTAAAAAAAACATGTAACTGCGTAACAATTCATTAATTTGAGTTCAGTGATCTGTAATATCATATTTATATATATAGTACAACTATGAATACAGTTGTTACATTATCTCATACCCTTTTTGACCCCTCTCAGTCTCGCTTTCCTGAGTAGACATTTCACAGTAAACAGTTTACCAAGGACAAGTGACAATGCACTGAGACAGATTGTCGAAATGGCACAAACATTATCAGTCTTTAAAAAAAAATTATAGCCGGCTGTAACCCCCTGTTGTACTGTACATAGCACGAAATGCCTGTTGCTTTATATCTGTTGTCTTGGCAAGAGTGAACAACATGCCACTCCCTCCATATCAATAGTTTTTATCTCAGCAGCTGTGTATTGTCAAGTTGTATACTATATAGCAGACATTTACCTTTGATGCTACGTGGCCCATTACACAGGGGCCACAAATTAAACTGCATTCTAAAGGAGATCTCACAATATACTATTGAAGACGTAACGTGAATGACAAACACTGGTGTAGCGATACTGACAAAAACTAGGGCAACTGCGCTAACAAATATACCAGTATTCTTTTTTAAACGTGACAACTGCCATGATAATAAAATTGGGCATTCAACTGGAAATTTTGAATGAATTCATGAATATTTTATATAATAATGAGCAATCATGAAATGAATATTTATGACTAACGAAAGGATTCAAGTTTAAGTTGTATTTCGAATACTTTGAAATAGTTTAATAAACAAATTAATTAACAAATGTCAATTTATAGATACTATATTGACAATCTTATTACAATAATATACTGCTTGCTAAATTGGTAAATATACTTGTTAGCTATAAAATTACAAAAATAACTTAACATTTAATTTTTCTTAAATGCTCCTCAAAATTGAATTTTCTGGGACTTGGAATATTAAAATGTATATTCATGTTTGAAAGGGGAACGGTGTAAACTAATAGCTATAGCTGTATAATATCTCTTGAATGAAATGAAAATTATTAAATTAAATTAAACGACAGAATATCAATATCCCCACTGAATGGCCGAACTTTGACCTTTCCAGTAAATGGATACTAGAAGTTCTATATTTAACAGGTATCGTTTCATGTGATACAATACTATGCAGTGCCCCGAGGGCAGACATTGGAAGGAAATACATAATAAAACCAGATCAGTTTTGTATCGCCAATGCTGAACAAAAGCCTGACTTTCTTGTTACACTTGTTGCTATGGTAACCTCGAAAATAGCTAATCACGATGTGATGCATGTTGTTTTGATACACTCCACACCGAGGAACTTACAATTTACATTCTTCTTGTAATGCACAAAACAGAAAGGTTAGGGGCGTACCATTATAAAGTTAAAGGGAAGCATTTTTTTGGATGGCTGATTTGTGCGTTAAAAACAGGCTGGAACAATTGAAAGAAAGCAAATTCTACGCCAATCAGTCTATGCAAGATTTTTTTCCAGCTAGACAGAAAAAATATATACAAGCAATGTATACTCCTTCTGATAAGTATACCAATAAACATTGATCTACTTTTCTTTCCACCCTATATTATCCAATGTAGCAGATTTACAGGTAGATGAATGCGGTTACCTTTTGACTATTAAAATGTCACTTAAAATGTCTTTCAACCATTTCAATCCTAATCTAGTAACACTATTGTGTGTTAAAACTCTGTCGCCTGATTTCTTTCAATTTCAAAATTACCTTGTTTATTAAATGTGAATTATCAAATTTCATAATTATAGTAAGATGCTGTATCAGTGTATGACTTTCTGTTGCAACATTGGTGTGCCAGGGAATCAGCATATACATAACTGACATATACATAACTTGGTTACCCCTTGTAAAATAAAGCCTGCCTTGTCGAGATGCATACTTCACTTGAATATATTGTCATTAAAGTGAGACACGCCCACTAATACAGGTTTTTTTTTTTCAATGACGTGGTAGTGAAATCAGTTTCCAAAACCCAAACTACCGGTACTTTGGTAGTCAATACTGAAAATAGAAAAATATTCACTGGGTTTAATATAAGTGTATTAAATATTACAGGTATATTCATGGAATTTTAAATTCACTGAATTGTGCAGGGAAATTTATTCTACAAGTCAATTAGCTCGATAAATTTACTGGATTTTTATTTTAGTTATTTAGCGAAAATTAAACGTAGGGAATAATAAATATATATATTTTGTGTAAATTTGCACGCAAGTTGCTTTTTATGCTTCTTGTCATTGCACCTCTTTGTGAATAAACGAACAGGTCATGAGTAATAATACAGATCTTTATTTGAACTATAATCTAACAGATAACAGACATAATATACTTAGATTTCAAGAAAATGGTAGACATGAACAATTGGTGGGTTCTGCGATGCAAGCCATTATGGTCTTAATGATATCAATGAGACGCTGAAATATACAGATATGTAATAATTCTGAAATGGCCTACATCACATTAACTTTTGTATTGCTCTGTTGTTGGACATTCTATTGGATATCAATAATCACAACAAATATGTAAAATAGATGTGTGTGCATACATCAACAAATTAGGTTGAAAAAGAAAAATATCATCATCATCTTTACAATTGAACCAATCACAGTCTAGAGTTGTTACAACATCTTTTCAATTCAACCAATCACAGGCAAGCTTTAGTGTATTTTAAACTAACCAACCAATGATCAGCTTTTGTGTACCATAATTTGAATACAACCAATCACAAAGGAAATCAAATAGTAAAGGGACTAAAACACAAACAATACATGACAATCTTTTTTTGAAACACATTCAACACAAAAAATACATAGCCAATAGTTTAAAAACTATATAAAAAGAATTTCTGTTTTTAAAATTACATTTCATAATTGTTATACAGTAATTACAAATGCTCTTGATATCTATGTTGTCCCATATTGAAGATCACCAAAATAGAATGAACACAGGTCACAATTGTCTTCACAGCAATCATTTAAACACAAAATATATCTTCCACTCAAACCCATTCAGTACCAACAACTATTTTCTCCCATAAATAAAAGAAAAAGTTTCTGTTTTAAAAAACTTTAGATCTATCACACAAATTGGTCACATTGGTAAAATGAAAGCGAATCGGTGCAGAGAAATAAATGTTGATACTGAATACGTGAGTGAGTTAGATTATTAACTACACTGTGATCTATTTTTTGTCATATGTTCCCTCCCCTTTATAATTTCCTACATATCCGGTACTATCAACTTTGTCAACTCGGCCGTCAATTCCTTTGCCTTTACCCGATGCGTCAAACCTTTCCTTATGCGATCCAGTATATTTACTAGCATCAGTTAACCGATCAACGCCTCCAGCCTTCACAGCTCCCTAGTAAAAAAAACAAAACAAAAAAAAACATTTAAATTGCATGCTGTATGAAATCATGCATGGATGGATTTTGTTTGTCTGGAAAAGTGTTTCTTCTGGCGAGAAATCAAAGACTGTAATAAAAGATTAAACTGGGGCTCCCCAATCCCTGGGATTGCATCATGGAATCATGGGATACTATCGCCTTGTTGTTAAAATAACTAATCTGTATATTGTTTCTCATTTGCCTATAATCCAACAAGAAAGTTGTTTTAATAACCCCACACTTTAATTAGATTATAGCTATTATATTGAAGAATCAAGAATCGTGGGACGAGATTTCATGTTAATTTTAATCTTTGACATGTATCACGTCCAGTATAGCTCATGTAAATGTATTGTTTGTTTAATGACTGTGGTTCAATATACAAATGATTTTAACGCTTTGAATGGTGTGTCTCCTTACACAAAATAAACTTTCTGTTGACAATAAGAAATTATGTCGATTTGGTTTGAAATTAACAAAAAAATTATAGAAAAATACCTAAAAATTGACCAAAATTTAATTGGATAAATGGTGGCGTTATTTTTTATAATTGGCTGAAATTGTTGTTTGTTGAGTAATATCATTCCCTTCTCACCGACACACACACGATAAGGATTTATTTATTAATGCACTTAGGCACTTACCGTGGTTCCTGACGTTGCTGGGCCACCACCGCCCAAAACTTTGTCTTCAATTTTCTTTGTGTTTTCATCGCTTTCTTTGCCATACTTGGCTTTACCGGCCTGTGCTAAAGCTTGTTGGAACTGCGCAAAGTTGAGTGTTCTACCTCCCTTTGTCCTATCAATACAAATTATCACATTGTGGTGATGAATAGTTATACAGATAAAGTAAAGACTTGTAGGAAAAAGCATGAATGATTTAGTAGTGTTTATAAGAATTCATTCATGGATGGCCATGACACCGCATTCAACGCAAAAATTACACTGCCCAAAATTCTAACTGAACCTGTTCCACCAAAAAATCACGAGATATGGAAGGGCATTATTTATGATGGAGGGGTGGTCATGTCAGAATCGGGGGCACACAGGCAATATGGATACATGAGGGGGGCAAGGGTTACTTTCATTCAACGTAATTGCAATATTTTTTTTCGTACAACGTAAATTGAAAAAATAAATTCCGCAATTCTGTAAGCACAGGCTTGACGTACCGCGTAATCAATCAAATATTTTTTCGTACACTGTAAGAATGTGTCATTTTTCTCGGTACGTACAAGAATTTACATCCAAATAAAAAAGTCGTAAAATAATAATCCAGGGAAATTACATTTTCGAAACTGTAAAACGACTAGATGACACAATTCACTGCAAAATTCAATTTTCACTGTAAAAGGTAAAAACGTCTTTTTTTCCTTGTAAATTGTAAAAATCCTTTTTTATTTCCCGTAAAACTGTGCTACCCCCTTGCCCCCCATACATGGTTATCATTTCTATGTCCGCCTGCATGCGTCTGAATTGTTGCGTTATATTTCATTCATTAATCATGTAAATGTAGTCTCATTGGACAGACGTATTTCTTTCAAATGATAATTAACGGCACTATTGCATGTCGGGAAAACGTAGAACTGTCAGCCACGACTGTTGATTAATGCACGCACGGGAAATGCCAAAACACGCGAGATTTACTATAGCCAGTCAAAATTCGCGGTCAACCACTAAACCTAGCGTGGAGGATAAATGTAAGCAGAAATTACGGATGAATATCGTAGTAATCTGGTATCGAGAATACAAAAAGGGCGGAGAATTCCTGTCTCTGCATTCCTCTGATAAGAAAGGTGGCTTGTAAGGGGTGAGCCGTTATAAATACGGGAGGGGATTTCATAATATTATTTTTATGTTTTAATAGTTACTTACTTGCATCTAGTGTGTATCATGTCGACTTCGGTGCCATTCATTTTCTTGTCAATAAGCCCCTTATCTTTGCACAATTTCGTCCAGTTTTTGTTGTCCAGTTCATTTGCCCCTTTGGCACCCTTGCCAAAGCTGCAGTACTCCTTGAAGACCTCTTCTAGTGATTTACTCATGTTGACAAAATGACCTGTAAATGAACCATAACCACCGGAAAGGCAGCTTTTTTAAAACGACAACATTTATAACTAATAAGTTCGTGGACTGTTGCCCAGCCCAATGGTTCAAATCATGAGTAATTTGAGAGTTTAGCTGCACTGCGGAATAAATGGGCATTGGACACTAGTTTATCATAATAGTTGGCCCACAATAAGAAAGCACGGTTACAACTAATTCCGGAAAAATCGCCAGGCGTTGAATAGTCCATCGTGAGACAGGTGTAATCTGTCTGAACCACTGCAAAAATCATTTGGCAAACATCCTTTTAATTTTAAGAAAGATAACAAAATCGAAATTCATCCGCCCCAGTAAAAGTAATTATGTTTGCCGATTAATTAACAAAATATTTATTTCATCAGTACCTTAAATTTGCAGTTATTAATTTTTTTTCATCAATGGAGTTAATATATATTATTAACATTTTAAAATTGTATATAGATCGTGGCCAACGAAACACGTTCAGAGGTCGTATAGTAATTTAGCTGTTTGGAACCGAGGGCACTGCCCCCAAATGAACCCACTCTTCCAACCAATGGGGGCGTTGTTCAACACCCAAAACAACAATAGGTAAACAATTGCTTTCATTTCATCTTTGCCCAGACTCTTAATGATCACCGAGCTTCTCTTTTATCATCTTCGCTTTGGTCTTTGTATTTACCCCAGCACATACGCGCCACTGTGGTGGTAGTTTATCGCGACTATTTCATTAGTGTCTGTACGCCATCGCACGGTAACAATTGGTAATCAAATTAATCATATAATCTATATGAATTATCGAACTATATATTGCATTCCATTCTGTAATTATGGCGGATCATGGAATGTTATTAAAATGGCGATACGGGTTAATATATAAAACCTTGGCGACGTCATGTTTTTTTGGTTTCTAAGCAACCGTCTTCTTGTTTACAACATCCCCAGCTGCCCCAAATTGAGTATGCAAATAGAGTCGAAGAGATATAAAGGATTTTAAATATATCTCCCGACGATGCACTGTTTACGGAGTTACGGTGAGCTACTTTAACGCAGTGAGGAAAAAAATGCCAGAGTAAAACAAAATGGCATCATTTTTAACTTGAAATTGACGGCGAGGCGACCGATATCTATGTATATATCCCACTTCAGTCATTATTTTGAAGGAAGACAAATATTCAGTTGTCTGCAAAGGGCATTTATCAAATAAAGGTGTGTATGCATTAACGAAATACATGAACAACTAACTCGAGTACACGAAGCAACAATGCAGAAGCTGCCTATCGTAAAGCGCCGAGTCGAGTTAGTTGGCGAACGAGGTTTATTTTTAAACCGGTAGTTCCACAACATGCGAGGTATCAATATCTGGTCAACGTTAACATGTAAATGTGTAATAATATACCCTACCTTAATTTACACTGATACTCGGAGCAATGAACAAGTCGGTTGGCGAACTGAAACAGAGCTGGGAACTGGCAACGATGTAGACCTACAGGTACTGCAAGACTGGAATGTCTATTCAGGATTATTGCAGTTTGATGCGGAGTTTATACAACGCCCAGATGCCGAGGCTTCACCTAGTCTAGCTTTGTGTATAATACAGTGCCGACCAATCGCTGTTCCGTGTTCCAATGACGTAATGTTTGAAGTGTATTATGATAATGAGATATAATGATTGGCATTTCCCGACGAACCAATTATATAAATAAAATACTGTGCACTATCGTGAACGGTTAACAATAATACAAAAACTATTTATTTCAAGCAGCACGTCACACCATAGACCCTCTAAAAGAGGGACCATAGAGGGTCTATGGTCACACACACTGATGTTATATCTAAAAAAATCATCTCTTTTGTGTGCATGTACATTTCGTGACGTTTCGCTTTACATATGTCATCGTAAGGTCAGATACGAAGGTGAATGACTGCATCTGTTGTTATTTAAAGTACACTGGTCCCAAAGCCAACGAATCACCAGAAACTCATTAGCACTGACATCGTAACTAACGGTATTTTTACCCAGGTTTTACCAGAACGCCACACTAGTTATAATTGACATAATTATTATATAGTAGTATTTAACTTTTACCAAATATATACATTTAATAACTATTACGGTTCAATGTGTCAATTATGTTAACATATAAGCACATGTCTGAGATAATGTTTGGTTAAGGTAAATTGATCGGCGACCTGTCCGATTTAGGCTTGA